ACCCACGCAAACTGATGCGTTGCCCCACTGTTTGTTGGGAAGTTCCTTAATATGTTCCAATTGACCTCAAAAACTACATATTCTCGTTTATCTTTCTCCCGATGACGATCTCTGGCTTGTTGCCTCAGATCGTAATCGTGGCTTCTTTCATCTTGCGTCATACTTCGTCTCACAAAAATAATTTTGAACTTGTTCGATAATTTCAAACTTTTAGCATTTTTCAAAGCAGCATACCAATGGTTTTTGGATGACACAACTACTTTCACGTGTCTGGGGCGATCCGTGCCAGGTTCCTCCAGGCGGTAGATCCCAACACTGGCACTTGACGTCCTGCTGATATAGCTGATCACATACCTTCCGTTCCAAATCGATTTAATGCACTGGAGGCTTAGTATGCGGAGGAAGCGCCTCCTATAAATACTCTATTCTGACTATNTTCTTGTGAAGACAATGAGTGCCTTTCGGTTTTCACACTAGAAATGGCCGGGACTTCATTAGAATCGTAGGCCAAATCTTTTTATTTTATGCACACGATCTCGCTTAGGGGCATGGTCTACAGCTCCAACATGTATACTACGTTCGATTGACTATCACCGGCAACGAGCAGAGCTAAAAGGCTACTGACTTGCTAGAGTGGTAGTGTCGCCACACGTCACGACTTCACACGAGGAATGAACACAATGTCTACAAAAGATTTTGTGACCGAATGTATGCTGCATTCGCTAAATTTGTTCCACATGTGTGTCTTGAGCTCAGCAATTAGTATATCCCCTGCATATTGAAACTCTAATGGCTCATAAGGAAAGACTTTTCCGCTTTCTCCCCAATCCACTCAGTGACCATCGATACAGATTAAAATTGGGAGAAAACCCGTGAAAGGCGCCTCTCACTGAAAGTTAAGGTCAAGCAATTATTCCACTACTTCAGGGAGAAATTCAGAAATAAACCCTCTTCGCCTACTTTATCCGATAAGAACGGTCCAGCCTTAGCGTCGGATTCACAGAAAGCTATAGGATTACAAAGATTTTCTGCCAGCGTTTTTCAGGTACAAATTGGAATACAGACCTGATAAATGTAAAAGGAATGCCTCTGATATGTAGGTAGCGCGCTCTCTAATCTCTTCTTTCATCCTTACGGCGTGCGTAAGACGCCCAGCACTTTGATCCATCCCCTTCAGAAACCTGTGATGGAATCCCTCAGATTGTATATAAAAATACACATTCACACATATTTCCAATATCTCTATGCTCTTAGGAGAAGTCCCGGAAATATGGAAAGAGGCTTCAGTCTCCGCTATCCCTGAATTCTCAAATAGTAAGTGTGTGGTTTGCCAATTTGGACATTAGAATTCATGGAGCAATTGGAAAAGCCCTTCAAAATTCGCAAGTCGCAATGAGTAATACTATGCTTTGACGAGGCCAGATCGAATGCATTTTTAAAGACTTGACAAAATTTATCAAAGCGCAGTTGAACAGTGCCCTCCCTCCTTTTTAGACGAAGTTGTAGTAAGTCGACTAACTCTCCACTCCTTTTTTTGCAACAAGTAATAGTTTTCTGTACACGAAATGCGACACAGGACAAACAGGGCAGTGCAAATGGCATACAGTGAAAGTCGGTGCTTATGCCTTCTACTGGAATTCCAGATCTCTTGCTCCCTTTATTAAAAAGAAATACCCATCGAAGATCTGTACTGTTAGACAACCAAAGCTGATGCTGTGAAAATGTTCTGAGTGATGATAGCACCATTATCTTTATCAATGGACCTTTTTCTTCACGGAGATATCATTAGTTGAGAATTTCAGATTACGGGCGGTCCATAAAGTTTTGTCGCAAATGATATCGAGCAAAGAGGATCCTTCATTGAATCACAAACCTTGCTGG